AGTGGACCGATCTGAATAACTTCTTCGGAGATTATGGCGTTGTCTTAGAAAATAATCTATGATAAATTTAGTGAAGATATCTTATCAAATAAAAAAGTTTTCCATACAAGGATTCGATTTTGATCAATCACGGTATGACAGTTATATGCTATAATGATCCAACATCAGCGTTCCATTTAAATTAGCAGATTTTTGTTTTGAAAATGGAGTATGCAAACTTTCAGTTCGATATCTTGAAAACTAAATGACTAATGTGAAATATATGCACATAGAGACGGATAGACAGACAGACAAACAACGTGGCACAGGTATAAATATGCAACAAATATTGTGTGGCTTACCATTCTGATAGATTTTTCAAATTCCTGCGGCACTGCAAAGGGTATCACCACTTGCGTTGGTCCCAATGGCCAAGCGCCAGCTTGAAGCACTTTGATGGATAAATTAATGCCTAAAATTTGAAGGTTGTACATGTAGTTGTAATTTCAAACACTATATCGTATATGTTTACCTAAATCAATATTCTCCTGTTTTAAATAATTATTAAATTTGTTATTCAAGTCCACCGAGAGTGAAATATCCGTAAACATGCGATGCAGTTTGTTTGTGAATTCATAACCACAAGCTTGCTGAAAAATTGAATACATACATTATTTGAATATAACGTTATAATTAGGTATAATAAAATATGGTTTACCTTTAATCTATTGATCATAGCTTCCTCTGCATCCATGCTTTGAGATTGCTCGTGAATAAGTCTGAAAGTGTTCGTACATATATTGTCAACTGCTGTGTTGACACGCTTTTGTATACTCACCTTTTTGCTAACAGTCTGCTATAGAATTTTTGATAGACATCTTTATCTTCGATGTATTTAAAAATGGTTATATTGTTGGTGAGTTTTTGATCAATTTCCGCCTCGGTTGTCTTGGATTTCTTCAGCAACGTATCACAGTACTTGGCAACATATTCGGCACTTCTACAAGGTTGCCGGTCGCCTGGTCGACGGTTGATGATACTCGCGCAAGCTTTATCCAAAGCACTCAAAAACAACGAATCATTTTCAAATACGTCCGCAATTAATTCATGAAACTTTTGGTGCACTTTTAACATATTTTCCACAAATTGTATATGTATATTTTCACCAGAAAGTGTAGAGATAGTTTCTAGCCCTTCATTTTTAATGTGATCCAAAAATGTATGTATTAGCTGCGATTTCAAATTGTCTGCTATCGGTTTCAGTATTTTGTACATATTCCGCAGATCATTCCGCTTTTCTTGTGATACCATATCCTTGCATTCAGAATAAATAAAATCAAGACGCCGATTGACAAACCGATCCTCGCACTTTTTACGTAGTCTCCACATTGAACTGTAATAAAGAAAACATGTCAAATTATGCACTGTAAAAAAATTAGATATATGTTATATTACGTTGCATGCAGAAATTTCTTAGCACGTTTAGTTTCTTCTTCCAATATCTTTATAACCTCTTCCATGTATTGACTGACAGTGCATGTTTTCAACAGCTTCGCTGCTTCGTTATCGTAATAATCTGCACTTGCCATAACTAATGGAAACTCGACTAATTCCTGATACAATTTAAGTGGTCCAGTTCTTTTATATCCTCGAACTTGCACGAAACTATGTACCACGCCACTTATTATTTTAACGCGATTAGGCGTGATTTCTGGGCTTCCACAGCGATCCGCCTTTATGTCTTCCAAAATATGTTTGACCAGATCGTCACTTAAATTCTTTATCATGTAGATGTGCCAAATATCAAGACCTAATTCACCGATTTCCATTTGCTCCATCGTATCTGAAGACAGATTGCCATACACTACTTCAGCGTCGGAGATTTTTTGCTTCTTAATATGCTGCTGATTTAGGTAACTATAAAGCCAAATTATAACATTATAATTTTTTAAACCTCTTATACCGTATCGATTACTTACGAATACAGATTATCTAAATATTTCACACCCTGACTATATTCGGTCCACGCATCATAGTAACGTTGTAGCAGATCTGGTTCACCTTTAACAGATGATGTACTGCATTGATCGGGCGCCACCCTTGTTGCCAACATATTCTGAACATGGTTCTCTAAAAATTGTTTCGTCTCATTATATAGGCGGTCAGCGTAAGGTTCCGGATGCGCCACACACAAAGTATAAACATCACTAAAAGCAGATTAGAAACAATAAACACATTTTTCTTATGTATGTATGAGTTACTCACCTAAATCTGGTACTCCAGTCTGAACGATTAACATTGCCCAGCGTTATGACCGCTTCAGCAGTACTTCTGAGATTTGGCCAAATTTCATTGAAATCTACACTTTTTGGGGTCAAGGACATGCTGGCTGCTTGCTATTAAACGCAACTGCAACAAATAGTGGAAAGCAGACAGAATGAGCAATGAGTTTGCCAAAAATGGAGTGTTAGGGCAGTGTGCGTGTTAGGTGGTGGTGCGCAGGCAGTGCTGGCGTTGTACAGGAAAAGTCGTGAAATCAGCTGCTGTGATGCAACAGTGAAATGTTTGGAATTCTTTAAAACACTTTTAGCACATTTTACACACCGATTGAATATAGATATTTTTATAATAACTTTGCGTTTTATGTATTTATAATAAACTAAAATTTACCTGCACAACTTTGCTCCGTAACGATAAACGTCCTCTTCTAAACTTCTTCTTCAGCATCCATTCACAATGGGATATATATGCAAACTTATTTATTTTATTGATAATGAATTATGTATATATTCATACTTTTGAGACCGTATGGAAAGGTTTCATTTATAAATTAAAAAAATTGATATAGAATCACCGCTAGGCATTATTTAATAAATTTTGTACCAAAAAGTTTTTGGGTACTACTTTTTGTAATAGATTTTCTACTGTGCAAATATTATAATTAAAAATTCTGTATCAGAAATATCTGGCATCATTAATTGTAATTGTCAAAATACTTACCCCATATTTTGTTAGAACTAAACTTTTTATTTGTAACAATTTTAAATAATTCAGAATTTCTTAAATTAAAATTAACGAATAGTCTTAATTACTTATCTTCAGAATGACACTACAAATTTGTAGTTATCAAGGTTGTTATACACAACGGTTTCCTTGCAGTTCAATAACATTCTTCCAATTACCAACCGATGAACCACGACGTACACATTGGATACTAAATAGTGGAAATAAACAGCTGCTTAACCTTAAGAATAGCCAAAAACGATACTTCTGTGAAGATCACTTTCAGAAAAAGGATATAAAACCACATTTTTATAGAAAACTTTTATATAAGAACGCAGTTCCTATGCCATACATGAGTGACGATGTTTCTACAACAACCACAAATACAAATACAATACAGTTTACGGAGTTCGAGGTAGTGAGAGATTACCAAAACGAAGTTAAAGGAACAGATGAAGACAATTTGTACCAGGAATTCGAAATAAAGTATTTTAGCATTTTTATGTTTGTAACAACAAATTATTAATTAAAAAACTTTCTACTCATTAAGGGAAGGAGAATATGAAGCCGAAACTGCTGCAAAGATGATGTCGACAAATGACAATTGCTTTTTATATGATGAGTGTAACGAGGATGACATACAGGAAAACAAAATATTGACTGAGGAATTACTGGACATACCAGAAAATATTTCTAATCCCGCTGAAGTAACACCCTCAAAACAAGAGTCTATGTATATTGATAGTAATGATTTTGTCGGCACATCGGTTGCTGACGATGCGGCGTCAACTTCTTGCATTTCGCCGTCAGCTTCATCCACTACAGATGTCATTTACAGTACAGAATCGCAAAATGCTTATACTTGTACAACAAATGATTGTATTGCCACTGCTGCTGAAATAAATACGGATTTAGTGTTAAAAAATGATAAAGAAATTTATAACGATTTAAATGAGACTACAGTGCCCGATAAATCCTACGAATCCGATAAACATTTTGCGTTATCACTTGTGTATTATTTTCAACGATTAAATGCTAAAAAGAAAGCGCAAGCTAAAATTGATATATTAACATATTTAGTAGCTCTAGAGCAGGATAAGAATTCTTAATGGGATTTATTCCATCCTGATGTGTGATGTAGCATAAAATAGTTGAGGTATGATATTTTTTATATTCTTAGTAGCTTTAATTAAAAAAAAAAAATGAAATTTAATGGTGTAAAATAAGTCAAGAGTAAAGTGATACTAAACGGAATTGGTTGTAAGACTAAGTGTAGCTACTCAATTAAACAAACAAAAATAATTTGGTTTTGAGACTAAATTTTATTTGCAACTTTTTCATATAATTTATTTACTTATTTAATTTATATATACTATATATATTTTTTTTTTCAAAAAAGTTGCCAAGTTGAACTACGCTAAGTATTGTTCAATATGTATAACAGATGATCCCTACATTAAGCATACTCGCTATAGAAAAATACAACAAGAATATTTTGAATATAATACAATAGCTTTTGCTAATTTAATAGTTGAGTTCACTAATAATTATATAAAACTTAGTATAAAATTACATTGCAAATAATTCATGCATATGTATGTATAGTTTATTTTGAGAAAAAAAAATTTATTAAAAAAATTGAAGCGAGACATAAATAATCACTCTGCGGTTATATTATATTGGAGTATCACTTTTTGTTGCAAACACATGCACATACTATTATTATTAATATGTATGCACGTGTTTTATATAAGATAAAACATTTTTGCTTTTAATAAATCAATGATATGAGGAACGTAAATACATATTCATGATACATATGTATATTCATGAATTACAAAATATATATTTTTTCATCTCTCTTATTTCATTGCATATTTGTACATTTTCTCTAAAACTGCATACCTTAGCATAGGCGTTGACTATTATTTGGAATAGTTTTTTTTTCTTTGTGCAAAACAACAATGTGAGTCTATGTGCTGGGCCTTGCTAATTTTTTTATTCCTACTTTTGTTTGTGAGCACATCCACCTTGTTGATTGTCACGCTACTTTGTATTCGAAGCCGTCTAATCAAGATTGTGCGTGTTAATGCATGTACCATTAAGGTGTCCGTTATTTCCCGTGTTGATTGTTTTTTTGCAAACGTCATTTGATGTTTTGATTTCTGACATATGTATGCTGCTCATACGACATGGTGTACTATATGAATACATTTGTTGCACCACTTTGAGTGAGTATAACTTTTAAAAGATTGCTTCTTTTATGAAAAAAATTATTCAGATCCTTTTTGTAGAGCTAAAAATTTTGTGTTAGATTAGAGCGTTTTCAAAGTTGAAGATGTATTTGTTTTGGAAATAAAAACTTCATGGGCACAGTTTAAATTAAAAATAATGCGCTTGTTTTTGTTAGTGCATTTTTTATGGGAAAATTTATAATTTTGAAAAGCGTTTGCCAAAAAAACATCCAGTTTGAAAAATAACACACACCCTTACGGACCATATATGTATGTATATGAAATACAAAGAAATAATTACAGACAAGTTGTGCATAAATAAATACAAAGTGCTACAAGTCATAACAAATGACCACAAAGTCAAATTTGTTTTTCATAAAGTTCACGCCTGCACAGCTAAGAGCAAACAATAGCTCTAACTTAATTTACAAATTATTTAGAGCTTTAATATTCTTTTATTTTAGTACTTTCAATGTCTAATTTACAATTAATATTTATATATGTATGTATGTTTGTTTTAGTTGCTATTTAAGCTTGAAATGTGATTTTAAAATTCGTTGAAGAAGTAACCATCGATAGCAGTTTCGGAGAGTTGCTGTTTTAGTAGTATTTTCCTTTTAGTTTTTCTTTTTGTACAAAGAAATTTTCAGTTGATTCATATTTTTTGCTTGCATTTCCTCTTTAAATTCTGTTTTGAAGCGGGAAGTTGTTATTTTAATTTTTTTATGTATGCTTAAAACTTTTATTATATTGTTACTAATTTTTAGTTGATTATTAATTACTTGTTATTATTCATGCTTTATATTATAGTCAATTAATACAAATATGACAACTTGAAGCGAAATATTTATTTATAGCTTGAGACTTGTCGTTAGACTACTAACATTTACGATATAAGAACCAAAAACAAATGTGTTTGTGGATGTTGCTGTTGCTCTTGATGAGTTTGACAATTATAGGTGGTCACTTATAGCTGATGGTGGGATTTTGTCGAGCTCATCATGAAATTTAATAAAAGTTGTCTTAGCAATTTTTACTATGTCAGAAATCAACATACAATTTTTTAGATCACATGTATTTTAACCAATTTATAACTGGTATATTATTAGTTATTACGGCACAAAGTATGAAACAGCAGCGAGTTTTCATAACTCGCATAAAAATGTTGGACTACTCACGACGAGAATCATATAATATTGGCCCACAACGTAACTGAAATCACGACGAGAATCACATATCTTTTAAATGAGAAGGATTAATGCTACACTCCTCTTTTAAAACCCGAAAAAAAATTCCCAGCATTCTGGTCTGGATTAGATTTAATTTCGGTCATGTTACAAGGACAACTACTTAAATGTTTTGTATAATTAGGAGGCAAGTTTACCGTTTATTTCGTATATTGTTTTGAGTTGTCGCGAAAAAAACTCTTTTAAAACCCGAAACTGGATATCCAGAACTATCAAAATGTTGCAAAGTAAAGACTTCTAATTAAAATTCGTTTCATATGTACAGCATATTTATTTTCTCTACCAACTTTAGATATGCGGTCTGAAATTCAAGTACTTAGTACTTCCATAAAGTGTTGCAAATTTTTAAATTTGGACTAAAAGTTAGAATTCTTAATTAAAATTTTGTGAATAAAAATAAAACTTCACAGTTTTAAAAAAATTTTAAATTTTTAATTCCAAACATATTGGATTTAAAATAAGATGTGTATAAGAGACAGACCCCTCACAGGGGGATTTGTAAGAACACAAAAATATTTATAATAAAATAATTGAATAAATTG